AGAGTTCTCAGAGCTTTGGGAGGATCTGACAGAAACTAGGACTCCTACAGAAATGACATTTTCTGAAACCAAACAAATCAACACATTTTAGTTCTAATTTACAAACTCAGAGGGAAATCTGTGACAGGAAGAAAAGTTGGTTCTGGATCTAAACAACTGATCTCCATGGCAACAGCAGCAATGCAGGGATTGATCTGAATGGTCCAAGTTTCCATCAAAGCTAAACAGTTATTTAATAAAAACAATCAAAGAGACTAAAAAGGTGAATTCTGGGCTAACAGCCCAATGAGTGAAGAGGAGTTTAAAGGTTCTGGTAGGTCTCTGGCTGATTGGATCTTTAGAGAAAACACTGATTTTCTACAATCTGATGGTTTTCTATTCATTTCAATGGAAGATGGAAACTGATCCAAAGTAGAATATTTTTAAAATTATCCAAATCTCTAAACACCAAAAGCTCCAGCAGAGCTGTCCTGAAGGAGATGAACGTTTAGATGTTTGAATGGTTGAAATGTTCCAAAGGATGAAGGAAGAAGTTAAAGAGCAAAAATGTCCAGAAGCAACTAGAACCATGAAGAAGAACCAGGAGGACAATTGAGCTGAATCAGCACCACACCATGAAGACATCTGGACTCACCGAGCCTTTCTGCAGTTCCTCACAGCTGGAACCAGTCTACGTCGTCCTCCCTCTGATGTGTTGTACTTCTCAAGGTCCACCTGATCCAGAACCTCTGACATTTGCAGCATGTAGGCCAGAGCTGAGCACTGGATCTCTGAGAGCTCCTTCCCTGATTTCAGGAACTGTTGGATCTCCTGAAATAGTGAGAGGTCCTTCATCTCCATCAGACAGTGGAAGATGTTGATTCTTCTGTCAGTAGAGATTGTATCAGTGTTCATCTTCTTTAGATTGTTGATGACCCTCTGGATGGTTCCTCGACTGGTGTTCATCTGACCCAGTAGAAAGTCTAGGAGTTTGTGGTTGGACTCCATAATGAGGCCATGAAGGAAGCGAGCAAACAGGTCTAGGTGGCCGTTTGGACTCCTGAGGGATTTCTCCATGATTCTCTTCATGAAGTCCTCCAGAGATGTTTTTCTGAAGATTTTTCCCATTAGTCTCTCCATTGATATTTCTCTGTACGTTTCTCCCAGGAAGTTCTCCACCACCTCTGTGTTCCTGCTGGTGAAGCAGTGGAGCATGTAGACTGCAGCCAGAAACTCCTGGATGCTCAGATGAACAAAGCAGTAGACTGGTTTCTGGAAGATCAAGTTCTCTCTTTTGAAGATCTCTGTACAAACTCCTGAGTACACCGAGGCCTCTGTGACATCCAGACCACACTGCTCCAGGTCTTCTTGGTAGAACATAATGTTTC